GCGACTTCTCAGAAACCGTGCAGGCAAGAGAGAGTGCAGTGAGATACGTAAAGTGTTGAGAGAAGGACCAGCAGCCTGGAATTCTGTACCCTGCAAAATTCTCTCCAGAAGTGAAGGAGAAATGAAGACTTTCTCAGACAAAATTTGTAGCCAGTAGACCTGCCTTCAAGAAATGTTAAAAGTTCTTCAGAGAGAAGGAAAATGATACAGATGGGAAACCTGGATCGACATAAAAAATGGAAGAGCGTCAGCGAAGGAATAGGAGAAGGTCAATTTAAAACTTTTATTTTTCTTCTTAATTGATATTACAGATAGCAGTGTTCAAAGTAATAACGGCAACAGTGCATCTGATATGCATGCTTATGTACATATTACACGCACATACATACACATACGCTTATGTGTAAGTGAAATGAACTTTTATTTTTCTTCTTAATTGATATTACAGATAACAGTGTTCAAAGTAATAATGGCAACAGTGCATCTGATATGCATGCTTATGTACATATTACATGCACATACATACACATACGCTTATGTGTAAGTGAAATGAAAGCCATGATGCAAGGGACAGGAGGGAAGAATTAGAATTATTTTGTTATTTCAGGTGCTCACGCTACCTGTGAAGCAGTATAGTGCTATTAGAAGGGGACATGGATTAGGTGTAAATGCATATTGCAAACTCTAGGAGAAAAAAGCAAAAAAAAAAAAGTATAACTAATAGGCTAAGAAAGAAGAGAAAACGGAATCATGTAAAATGATCAATTAAAAGGATAGAAAAAAATAAACAGGAACAAAGGTCAAGGAATAGAAAACTGTAATGAATATGGTGGATATTAATCCAACTGTATCAACAATCACTCTGACAGTAATGAATATGGTGGCTGTCAATCCAACTGTACCGACCACCACTCTGATAGTAATGAATATGGTGGATATCAATCCCACTGTATCAACCACCACTCTGTGGGAATGAATCTGGTGGCTATCAATCCAACTGTATCAACAATCACTTTCATGGGAATGAATATGGTGGATATCAATCCAACTGTACCAACCACTCTGATAGTAATGAATATGGGGGCTGTCAATCCAACTGTATCAACCACCACTCTGATGGGAATGAATATGGTGGATATCAATCCAACTGTATCAACCACCACTCTGATGGGAATGAATATGGTGGCTATCAATCCAACTGTATCAACCACCACTCTGATGGGAATGAATATGGTGGCTATCAATCCAACTGTATCAACCACCACTCTGATGGGAATGAATATGGTGGCTATCAATCCAACTGTATCAACAATCACTTTCATGGGAATGAATATGGTGGATATCAATCCAACTGTACCAACCACTCTGATAGTAATGAGTATGGTGGCTGTCAATCCAACTGTATCAACCACCACTCTGATGGGAATGAATATGGTGGATATCAATCCAACTGTATCAACCACCACTCTGATGGGAATGAATATGGTGGCTATCAATCCAACTGTATCAACAATCACTTTCATGGGAATGAATATGGTGGCTATTAATCCAACTGTATCAACCATCCTTCTGAGTGTAATGATCTATGGTAGATATTAATCCAGCTGTTTCATTAATCACTCTGAACGTCAATGGTCTAAATGCACCAATTAAAAGACAGAAATTGTCCGAGTGGATCAAAAACAGAACCTAATTGTATGTGATCTACAAAATAATAATGAAGCTGAGCATCTTTTCATAGTTTATTCATAGTTTGTCCTGTTAGTTGCCTTTATGCATTTTTCACTTTTTTCTATTAATTTTCATAATTCACTGTACATAATGGATACTATTCCCTTTGCCAGTTACATACTTTGAGCATATTTACTCCCCGTCAGTGCCATATCTTACTTTAAAGAAACATATTTTTTTGGGGAAGAGGATTTTTCTTTTAAGTTAGTTAAATTTATTAATCATTTCCTCCACGACTTATATATTTTGTCACATTCAAGAAATCTTTTTTACTCTGGTGCTGTAAAAATGTCCCTCTATATTTTATTAATTTTTCCTTGAAAATTGCTTTTCACAATTAGATCTTTTAACTAACCAGAATTAATGTATTTGGCTGCTATTAGATAGAGATCCATTTTTTTTTTCATATAAATATCCATGGTCTTAGTACCATTCACTAATTAATCCATTATCTTCTTTCAGACTTAGCGTTTCATTTGTTTTATACTGGTCCCACATAAGTGTGTCATTCACTAGACTAACCACTTAACTTATACTAATACAATACTGATGTCCAAAAAAACTGATGTATAATAGGGTTTGCCCCCTATTCTTATTTTCCAAAATACTGCAGGCAATTTTACATAATTTATATATGAATTTTAAGTAGCTTATCTTATGCCCAAGAATCGCCTGTTGAGTGTCATCAGGGGGCTGCAATTCAAGAGCCCTCCAGTCCCGGAATCCACCCGAGACATCACTTGCTGGGGGGAGGATGTGAGGACACGAGTAGAGATGTTTGACCCACCACCCTGACTACACCGCAGTTGGCAGGAAGTGCTGGGGACGGTCCACGGGGCCCATGAAGCCTGAGGCACAGACATACGCACAGTACCCCATGGCACACCACCCACAGGCAAGGTCACCCTGCCTGCAGAAGCTCGGACAGAAAAGCACACGCAGACGACAGATAAGTGCCAAGCAGCCACTGGCAGTAGGCCAAGCCCTTGCACCCTCTGTCCACACCCTGTCCCACGCTTCCAGCCTTCACACCCAGAACACAAGACACAGCCTGCCCAAATGCTCCTGTCTCAGTGGACAGGACTCCGGAGAACTGGGCATTAAAAACGGACAAAGGCTTCCTTTGAAGGGGCGTGGCCTGGGACGTCACAAAGGGCCACAGAGACGCAAGCAGATGCCCTGCTCCGTGGGACACCCAGCACTTGGCAAAAATCAAGTTTGTTCTTGTTATGTAAAGTCACATCAGAGACAAAGCACACAAGTGCCATGGAGCCTACCAGACAGCATAACGCACACACATGCACACACATATTCACAACCACAGCCTGCTCACACATGCACACACATTGCAGCATGCTCACACATGCACATGTGCACGCACACGTTCATGCCCACACACAACACACGTGCTCACACATGTCCACATGCTCATACACAAGAACGCATGCCTTTACCTGTATTGCCAACAATTGTGGACACAAAACGATGATCGCGGCACAAAAAATAGAACAAAGAAAGCGAGGCCAAGAAGCCCCCACGACTTGGAAGACAAGGTGATCGCCAGCAAAGGACACATGTCCCGACCCCTGGACTGAGGGGAAGTGACAAGTCAACAATAATCGCAGCTCAGCTCCAGCAGCCGTTTCCTGAAACAGCTGGAACAGGAGTGACTGCCTCATGTCGACACCAACACCTTGGCCGCTGGTGGCTGTGCTGGAGACCAGGGCCTGCGAGGGCTCATTGGCACCCAGCACGGAGATCCCTGGACAAAGCCGAGACCCTCAGAGGACACGGCACTTTTGGCCATGGGGACCATGGGCTGGCATCCAGGAGGACAGGACAGCCTCCACCTCTGCTCCCTTCGACAGTCCACTCACTGCGACTTCATTCACCCACACACTCAAACCTACCTGGCCCATGTCCAAGTGATCTGATGTTTTATCCAAGACAGACAGTGGTAACAAGGTGTCCCTGTGGGCTATGACTGCCCCACTCACTCCACACCAAGGAAGAGGCACAGCGCCAACGTGAGGGGTGCCATCACAGTGAGAGGGACTCCAAGGCCAGGGCTCATGGCTTCCTGGGAGAGGGTGATGCCGGCCCACAGCTCCAGAGGCTCCCGCAGGCCCGGTGCCCATGCTTCTCCACTGTCTCACCAAGCACCCTCCAAGACCAGGGTGGAAATAAGGCTGCTGGGGCCACTGCCACCCTGCAGCACAAAGACCACCCACAGTCTACAGAACTGATGGCCAAGCCTGCAGAGGGGCGGGGCTGGGTGAGCATCGCATGCTCACCAACGGCCATGAGGCAGGTTCTGCCCGGTGTGGAGGCAGGGCAGCACCTATAGGTGGGAGAATCTCCAGAGCACCAAGAAGCCTCATGCGGCCACCTAGAACCTGCCCTCCACTCACTTGGCGACAGACTGGATGACCTTGGAGGAGGTGTCCTTGATGTTTGTGAAAAGGCGCTCAGTGCCCCCACGCAAGATGTCCAGGAGTCCACCGTAGGGCTGGTCATACTCGGCAACCACCAGGCCTGCAAGCAGAGACAAGCCTCAGGTCGTCGTGGGAGCCGACTCCCAGAGAGACGGCAGAGTCTAGACAACAGGAGCCTGCAGCAAGCCACACTTCCTGTTAACCCCAACCATCAGCGCTCCATGTCTAGGCGTAGGAATGAGCCTGGCGGGCAGCCCCACCCTGTCCAGCACTGGCAAAGTGCATGCCCAGGCACCACAGACTACTCTCATGAAGGCAAAACCTGAATAGCGTCCACGAGAGCCAGAACCTCCGGGTGCATGTGGCCCTCATTCCCGTCTCCAGGACATTTGCCCAGTTCCCTTCAGCACTTGCTGGACACCAGCTGGGACCCCATGGTCACACAAATGCGTGCTGAGACCCAGCAAAGGCAAGACAGCCTCCATGCAAGGCAAAGGAACACCGCGCACGTGGAGACCACAGACGCATGACTGGGGGGAGGCTCTGCAGGGAGGCCAAAGAAGAGGCCAGGCCCCAAAAGGCTGTGTGGCTACAACTCAGGTGTGCTCCAGGCTGGGAGTCCCCGTCTGCAGGGAGCAGGACTGCCACCCAAACGAGAACAGATGGTGACAATGGAAGGGTCCTGAAGTGCCAGGATCCCTAGGGTGCAATCTGCAAAGGCAGCGCTGGTGGTAGCAGTCAGTGTGAACAGGGAAGCATGACCCGCACATGGTGTCTGTGCTGCAGGGTTGTCTGCCACGTCTTTTCCGTGGTCTCTGTGACCAATGCAGCAACAGGGGCCACTGGATGGCTGGGTCACAGGTGGTACAAAGGATCAGCCATTCTTGGGCCGTTGGGCAACCACTGAGATGAGGCTGTGTTCCACAGGTGTGATGTTTACACTGGCCCTTCACCAGGCAGTGACCAGCCTGGCCACAGCCAAGCACTCTAGCACACGCATGTGGTGTGCACATGTATGTGCTGTGGTCTTATCTTGGCGCCTCAAGAACCCACCCCCCCCCCCCCCACGACAGTCCAGGTGGCTGCACACGATGATGATGCCTGTGTGCAGGCTGCAATGATGCCTGTGTGGTCACCCCACAGCCCTGCACAACAGGCACCAGGGCTCAGGCCCACCCGGCTCTCACACAGTGCTGCAGAGGACCAGCGCCGTCCTGACAGCACCGGAGGGGAAAGCTAGCGTCTGCTCCTCTTTCCTAGTTTCCCGTCCTAAACCCCGGCCTGAGCATCAGCTCTGCTAGGCTGTGTGAGTTTCAGGGAATCACGAACCTGAGAGTGGTCCTAGAGACCCCAAAGGTGCAGCTTGTCTCTTGCCGCCAGGCCAAACGCCTTGTGAGAGCAGGAGGCAGGTGCCCCGCGAGAGCACAGCAGGGGTGTGATAACCCAGGGGACGAACGGTGGGCACAGCACAAGGGTACTTACCTCCACTGTAGCTGCTGCTTGTCGGGCCCCCAGGAGGGGACAGCCCTCGGGACAGGGCAGCATTCCCACAGCCTCCATTCTGCTCCAGGAGCTGTAAAGATTCAAGGCACAAGAAGTCAACCTCTAAGAGGTCACACACTGCCCCCATCAGGAAGGTCTCGTGACAGTGGTTCACAGCGACTGCAGGCTACACCGCTCCTAGCCATGGAGGACATCAGCACATGGCACCACAAGCTCCAGGCCTGCTCACTACAAGGAACCTTCCCCTCTTGCCTGGTCTGTTAAAAACCAGAGGGAAGAATTCCCCGGCTCCAAATGGTCCAGTGGAAGCCATTGCATCCTCCACTGGCGACGCTTGGGCCAGTCTCCGGGACAGAGGCACAGCTGTGAACCTGCCCCACGTGGCCAGGCTCACGGCATGCCCACCATGCCCATGCGCTGCCGTCGGCGGAGGACGAATGCACTGTTGGGGCGAGCAGATCCTCAGGGCAGGGCGACTGCGCCCAGGCCTACCAGCTCAGTTGGCAGCACACAGTGAGAGGTACCGTCCTTCGGGAGCTGAGCCTGCGGCCAGTGCTGGATGGAGCCTCGACGTCAAAAGCTTCGGACAGCCGATTGGCACCCCTGGTACGTCGGGACCAGGCTGGAAGCAGGGCTGCAGGCCTCCTGCCCAGCCCCGCTCAAGTGCCAGCCTCAGCCGTGCTCAGTCCTCAACAGTCGTGGTATCCACTGTCCCTCTTTGCCTAAGTGAGTTGGAAGTGTGCTTCAGTTTTTATGGAGTTTTAAAAAACACTTTTGTCATTGAGTTAATGTTTCATCACTCATGACAAAGCTCAGAAAGTAAGGCACACTGTCATCAACTCTGTGGAACGTGATGAAATCTCGTCTTGCCCTGTGACCCAGCAGGAGGCCAGTGCTAACATCCATGGACTCTCAGAGATACACAAACTCTGCTGGCTGTCTCACAGATCAGCTATGTCTTTTTTTCATGAGTTCTCAGTTTGATTTACTTCTTTTGTCAGTTTCTGAGAGGAATAAAACATCTGATCGGTCATTCCTTGTAACGTGGGTAAATATCACCCGGACCCCTGAGCCTCTGGATCTGTTCGACTCCTCTTTCACATAGTTCTCGTTCACGACACAGCCCAGCTTTTAGTGGCTCCACCCTGGGCTTTCAGGCTCTCCTGCTGTCCTCACTCTGGGTTCTGTCTGCCGCGTATTGCCCGCGTGGCCTGGAGCAGAAGCTATAGACGGCTTTAACGTCGGCACCCACACGTCCGGGCTCCAGAAGTGCTGAGATGGGAATACTCCTGAGCCTGTCCATCAGCATCTCTGCCAGCCCCCGGAGAGCTCCCAGCAGCATATGCATAGGCCTCACTCTTGGAGGGCACATGTTCTCTGTGAAGGGCCACGTGGGAGCCGCAGGCGGACCTGCCTCAGAGTCACACTACTCAGGGGCCATCTCCTCACCCAGCCCTCCTCTCTGAGCCAGACGCATTACCCCTGCCCCCAATAGTCTCCGTTCCCCATACTGATGGCCGCCGTCTGACGCATCAGGCCTCTATTTCCATCTCCTGCCCTGGGCCCCCAGACACGGGAATGGGCCCATGTGCTAAGCATCTGTCAAAGGTAGAAATGCTGGGAGTCACCACGGGCAGCCTCACACCCAGCTTTACTCTCCCCGACTCCTGTGAGCCCACAGGGCGGCATGCTTCCCAACAGGTGATCCATCCTCAGGGAACTCAGATCCCCCCGGGCTGCATGGGGGCTCCTTGCTGCACAACGATCAGAAGCCTCCTCGGAGCTGCACCACCTGCTTTAGGGCAGATGGGGGCCTCGGCACAATGCCAAGACCGTGTGACCACAAGCAACACCTGGAGGGGCCCTACCTCGGTGATGGGTGACTTTGGGTTCACGTTCCTGGCCGCTGCAATTTCCTGGAGCTGGTTCACCAGCTCCGTGATGGACAGCCGCTCCTCTGGGTTGACCTTCAGCATGGCGCCTACAGCAGAGGCAATGTGTGTCATCCCAGGGCCCAGCGGACAGCCTGCCCTGCTCTCACCGGGGTGACAGACCCTTGAGGCCCTCTGTTTTACTTATATTACTAATTTTAGAAGCAAGTGAGAAAATGAAGACACAAAGAGCAACAATAAAATGGAACAAAGTCATCAAAAGCAACCACTCAGAGCACTGTGGTCAGAGCACCGTAAGTTCACGGGCGCTGCTCCGCTGGGGGCCCCACGGGAAAGCCCACACCAGGGAGGCTGCCACGCAAGGGGCCAGGCAGGAGGCAGCACCACCCCAGATGGGACAGCATGCTGTGGTCCCTGCACAGGGGACTTACGGATGAGGCCGTGGAACACGGAGTAGCGGGTGTCGTTAGGAGGGATTGAGTACTTCCCGTTGACTATTCGAAGTTTTGCCCCATCTTCAAAAGGGTGCTGCCCAAAGCACAGCAGGTACAAGATGCAGCCCAGAGCCTGCGGGAAGGAGAGGTGGGGGCAGGATGGAGGGGGCGGAGGGCGGAGGAGTGGCCGGGCTGCCCCACACAGGGATCCTCAAGGGCACAGTCCAGGCAGAGCCTGTGGCTGGGCCACACCCTGGTCTGAGTCATGCACAGGGGGCCACAGCACGCCCTGTGCTCCCTTCATGTCCAGCCCACTCTTCCACCCTCATGAGACACAGAGGACTACTGAGATCAGAGTAGTAAAGAACTCCAATCTCTTATTTTCTGGTAAAATGTTCTTCAAAATGAAAAGTTCTACATTGTGCATCAGGGCTCTGTGGCTGGGGCCTGCCTCACCCTCCAGGACAGGGCGGCTGTGGAGGAAGACACCACCTCCATGTTGTTCAGTGACAGCAGAAGCATAAGACGACCACCAAAGCAGGAACCCAATCCACGGCCAGTTGAGGCTTCCACAGAGCTGGCCCCAAACCAAAGGCTGGCCTCTCCTCACTGCCTATTCCGCCATAGCATCCACCCATGGGAACAAGACGCGAGAACCTTGACGACCTCCCGCCAACACCTGAGCATGTAATTTCAGGTTCACCTTTTAAACTCCCACATGGGTGCATGTGCATGCATGTTCTTGGGCTGGGATGTGCTGAGGGCACCCACTTGGGGTCGACTGAGATTTGCAAAGGGGAGATGCAGTGTGGGACAGCACCGGTGTTGCCTCCATTACTGAGACAGGCTCTGGCGTGCAGGTCCTACCAACAGAGATTCACGTCCACAGCAGGGTCAGCACTGGACGCGGGCCTGACAGCCTAGACCAAGAGCCTGGAGGTGCAGGGGCTCAGAGTGTTCTGACGCTGAGGTGTCACTGTCCCTGCCCTCAGAGAGGCCAGGGAGGCTGAAGGATGCCTCGGAGTGGGCAGGGGCAGCACTCTGCCACCGGCACTGCACTCCCCAAGCTCCACACCCCAGGGCTAAATGAAGGGTCAGCAGACCCCAGAAGGAGCACAGCCAGGCACGACGCTCACCTCACACAGGGACTGCCCTCTGTCAATGCGGCAAGGTTTCGGAGAGGCAAAGGAGGAAGGTCACCTGGGCGTCTAGCCCAGCCCTCACCCTGAGACCCCTCCAACCCCGAGTGTCAGACTCCAGCCCTCACTCTGAGATCCCCCCCCCCCCGCCCCGAGTATCAGATGCCAGCCCTCACTCTGAGACCCCCCCCACCCCACCCCGAGTGTCAGACGCCAGCCCTCACTCTGAGATACCCACTGCCCCCTCAGAAAACAAAGAAAAAATTAAAGGAAAAAGAACAAAGAAGGGGGAACGTGGCTCCCTGAGCCACAGCAGCTGGAACCTGTGCCCGAGGGCCCATGAGGCAGGGCTGCCTGGCACCAGGGCAATGTGGCCTCACCCAGATGTCCTGCTTCTCGCTGATCGGGAAGTTCGAGTACAAGTCCACAATTTCTGGCGTCCTGTACATGGGTGTTGTGTTCCTGGTGATCTGAAGAAAAGACACACATTTCACAGGACAAGTTACATGCAAGCAGCACTTTTTATTTTGTATTGATGCCCTGCAACTTTCCAAAATATACTGCAGGACATCTATGACGGTGCTCATTTATGTCTCGCTGTGTTCCACAAAGATCTTAGGCTGCTCCCCTCCATCCTGACCCCCACTGCCACCCATCTCCAGAGTCACTGTCTCGTCCACCTCTTATGGCCTCCAGTGTTTGCTGAAGCAGTCACGCTACAGGATGCACCACAGCATCCTGGCCCTTTCACCAGGAGAAGTGGGCCTCGCTAATGGGAAACCTAGTGGGAGTGGCGCACACAAGCCACCTGCGTGCGTGAAAGGAAGTGCTGACCTAAAGAAGCTTCCTGACGAATCCTTGCAGACAAAAAAACTTCTGTGACAGGAGAGAAGACTAAGCCAACATTACCTGTTGGGTCAAGTCCTTCGTGAGGGCCCTGAGACCACGCAAGAGGGCAGGATGTGATAGACGAGCAGCCAGTGGATGTGGC